AAATATTGTGCAAGAGAAACAAATAAGCAAACATTGATTACAGCAATTTAACATCCATGTTTTTATTTTCCCACTTTTTGAAACATTCCACTGTTGTAAAACATGCAGACAATGTTATTGGCACAAACAATTCAACTGCCTGGAAGCACAGAAGAATGAACTCATCAGTATTATTTATATGCAAGTTTACCCTTGGACTCATGCCATGAAGCACAAAAACATGTTATTGTTTTGTCCCTTTTTTTTTAGCCCGCAAAAGCTATCAAGGTGAATGGTGAGTGAGTACATCTGGATTCCATTTTAAATTGTCAAATAAGCTTTTCTGTAGTTTACAAAGTGTGAGGCAATTAGTGCTTTGGTCTCTGCGTCATCAGCAAAACAGAACTGAATCCAAGGGGATGATCCTGGAAGGTCAACCATTAAAAAGAGTAGGTGATAAGTACAGTTGCTAGTAGCCGCTTTGCAGTTATGTTCATCAAACTATTTGGAACTGCATCAGAATTTGTAGACCTAAGAGTTATGAAAGCAGGAAGAATAATTCCAGCGGCACACATGCAAAAAGTATTGATTGGAAGATAATAACAAAGGGAATATGTGTCACTGCAACAGCAAAAATGAAGACTTGGAGCAGAGGTAACATCACCTGATCACTAAATCATGGCTTAATGTCAGATAGCCCTAAATACTGTATAGGTACCAGATCCTTTTTGATCTCAAAACCTAAGCAAGGTCAGCCCTGGTTAATAATTGAATGGGAGCTGCCAATGAACACCAGATGCTGTCTGCTGTGTTTCAGAGAAAGGAAGTGGCAAAACCACCTCTTCAGTATTCCTTGCTTAACAAAATTCTGTGAAACTCATGGGGTCACCATAGATTGACAGGTGACTTGAAGACATACCCATACATATCGAGTATTTTGACATTACACAATTATAGCAGTTTAATACAACTTTCCCTGCCATGGCTCCAACCTATGGGATCCTCTTTTGTAATTGTTTGTGGTGCTTAGAATTCTCTAAAGCTTCAGTTCATGGGAGTGCAATAGCAGAGATTTTTGAGAACCTCCACAAACTATAAATCCCATGTTTCTGTAGGTGGAACCATGACAGTGAAAGTGATATCCTTCTGCTATAATAACTGTATGATTTAGATAAAAGTAGTGTTCTGTCTGTACTGAATCAAAAGAGGAGAAGAGATGTTTAACACATTTCAGAAATGTATTAATAGATCTCCTGAGTGGATTGCAACTGTTAATTACTACTCTTGAAACAGAAACTGGAAACATTTCACCTTTCCCTGGAGCATTAATATATCTATTAATGGAAGAAGTGTTGCCACTGCTTGTATATTGTGTTTTGCTTTGCCAGAACCTTATTTATGCAATGGATTAATAATTCTGCACCCTTGGGCTCAGAAAATTTCCATGGAGGTAGAAGTGATTTACATGAACATATGCTAAGAAATACATGTTACACATTAGGAAAGAGAACTACACTCTGTAGTTTCACTTTGCAGCACGAAACATGCCACATTGGTCTGCCCTCTATTGTCTTTGCATGCTATATTGTTAGAATCCTGTTAGTGTTCTACCAGATATAGAGTTTAGAGT